AGTGAAAATATATTAAAACACTCCTAATGAGACAGATGGGACCTATGTTTGTTATATCTAATTAGTTATTTTACACTTGTGGATAAACATTACTTCTTGTGAGAATAAGACAGACAGAATTCAGCACAAAGATATTTCTATTTTCATAAGAGCTGGGAGTTCTGTTGGAATAACGTCACTCAAGTCTGTGAGCTCCTTATAAGTTATATACCTAAGTTATGCAGTGACCTATTTTAAAAAATTATTTTAGTGATCTATCAACTTATAACCTAATTGGATTCTCTTTAAACATTGTTAAAAGCATGGAATTTGAACTGATTGACTTGCGAAGACTTTGTTATGTAGTCATTCAAGGCACTAACTTTGTCAATACCTACAGATATTAGGAGACCCAAAGATTTTTTAAACCCCTGCTTTACTAGAGTCCAAATTAAGCCTTTTTCTATGAAAGGTCTTCGAGAAATTCTGTTACTTCAGTATAAGAACACAACTTTACTTATCAGGTAAGGTTTGGGAAACCTCACCAGACATTTTGTAATTTAATAAGTTACTCTAGAATACCTCCATTAACTGTCCCATAACCATATTTGTTTATTAATCCATCATGAAAATTCAAGCACACATATCTTCAAGTATCTATACCTAACAACTTAGATCTTAGAAATCATATCATGGGCTTTGTGAAAATTAGATTCCCAAGAAACAAAATGGTCCAAATATGATTAAAGTTCTTTCCATTACTCCCTTACCTCTTAGATACTCTGTACTGTGCTGTGGTCAATTTTCCAGTCTCAGGGTCATGTACTGTAGCTCGGCTCAGCTACAAAAAAAGAGAAAGGACAAGGACTTACTCTAGTAGCAGGCAATTTTGGGATTTGTTCGTTTTGTTTTGCCAAGCCACAGGTGATTGGAAGGGTTCAGATTGGTCTGGATGGTAGGTAATGGTTTCAAATCCACAAAAAAATATTTGGAAAGGTGGCAACAAGAACAGCCACTTCCAAATCAAGAGAAATGGGTTGACAAATTTTTGTTATAGATTTATTGTCCTTTCACTTTTTTTAAAAAAATCATTTCAAGCTCTATGTAAATGATTTATAGCACTGGGTTTCACAAGAGCTTTCTCAGATCTAGAAGTTGAGTGTTCTTTAAATATTTTTTTAAAAATTAGTAGTACTCCAAAATCCATTTTTTAAAACTCTTGAGATAAAACTGTTTTTAAATCTCTCTGGCAAAATAAAAAGCAACTAAGTTCCCAAGTAATTTCTGGAAGACTGAGCTCAGAAGCATAACTCTGTTCTTTCCATTGCCAACTTTTGAGTCAGCGAGTTTATTCAAATACAAAACTCCAAGAGGAATACGGATTACTTCATAATGACAATGGTATTTTGTAAGACATATGAACAAATGCCAACACAATCACCATGAAGGATGATGCGAATCACTGCAGCATTTATGAATGTGAGACAAGTGCAGAAAGAAGCAAGATTAACTAGGCTGCTTCTTTTTCTTTAATGCCCACTTTGGCAACAAAAGTGAAAAAGAAAACAAGTATCAGGCCATTTCCGGGCTATCTGATACCTGATCTGAAAAAGATACAAAGCATATTAATTCTCTAAAAATTATGTACCAATTAAAGACTAAAAACAGAACTTCTAGATAAAGGGAAAGACCTGTGAAACACAAAGCAGTTTATCCATGCGTTATCCTGTTTATATACACAGTGGTGACTTCAGCTGGAGACTGAAAATGACCTACTTCCCTTAAATGAATAATAATTCCTGTAGGATGTACAAAACACTCATTAGAGGGCAAAATATGCAGCATACACATCTCTTACCTTTTGCTAATTCTGTAATGTACCGTCTCCAAGTCTCCTGTTATTGGGTTTGAAATGGTGGCTCGCCTCAGCTGTGAAGCCAACCATCAAAATAGTTGCATTACAAGACAAAAAATGAATCACATTTATCCAACCAGACAGAATTCTGGGTTGTTTCTTTTTTTTTTTTAAACAAAGGAGGCTGAAAAGAGAAAATAACTCTACACACTTCCAGTCACCTGGTGCCATGCCTTGAAAGCCAGTTGGTTTTTTAGGTTTTTGTATTTTTAAAAAATTGTTTGATTTTTGTTTTGCATTTGTGCACAAATGAAAGAGCTTCGAAATTAAATTTCTTTCGATGGTTAGAGGACATGACATGAGAAAAAAAGAAGTATCTAAAATCTGAAGTCTAATTTATAGTTATAAGAATGGCTATTTGTAGTTAATGATCCATTCCAAAAGCTTTGATTTTAATTTTTTTTGTGTGTGATGGAACTGTTTGCAAAGGTTAATGCTGTTTAAAATTCACTTTAAGGTCAATCTTTTCTTCTTTCAAGATATCCACTCAGTAACATATAAAGCAAAATAATCGTGGACTGAGCACAAAGGCAGACAAAAATAACTCGTAAATGTTAAAAATAGTAAAAAAAAAAAAAAAGGCAGGCTGGATAATAATTTCAAACCTTTTTTAAAAAAATGGAAGGATGATTCTGAAGTTAAAAACAGGACGAAGGCCAGGCACGGTGTAATCCTAGCACTCTGGGAGGCAGAAGCAGGTAGATCACTCAAGGTCAAGAGCTCGAGACCAGCCTGAGCAAGAGCGAG